ATCATCGAGATGATGCACCCCATGGGGCAGGGGCTGTGCTTGCCACTTGCAAGGGTCAAACAACAGGATGAGCGCTACCAGAAACCAACGGCGGTCAAGAACATTTAGCAAACCTCCAGCTAACTCTCCTGCAGAACAGCGGCTTGGAAACGCTACCTGGCTTCTCAGTCTCAAAGTTGAAGTGTCATCCGAAAGACGACAAACTGCAGTTAAAAGTCCCTGAGGCATTGAGTGTTCAGCATGAACTCACAGGTAAGCACCTTTTAATAAAGCAAGCCACCAAGTGAATTGCCATCTGCACTTCCTCCAGCATTGGAGTTTGATTTGCAGGTCACCTATCCAAGTACTGACCCCATCCTACTCTGCTGAGCTTGCAAGATCTGGGGAGGGGAAAAAAAAAGTCACAGCCAGAAGGAGTATGACAGCAAAGTTTTCAAGAACATTTCATTAGTTTCCTTAGGCTCTGGAATCCAAGATTCCTTAACTAATACAGGATTAAAATTTAATTTCACTCGTATCCAGAAGGATTTCTTTACAACATAACCAGCTACATTTATAGTAATTTTCTATCCCAAAGGATCTTGCCTGTCTACCAAGATCACTTCATGCACACTGATGAAATGCAGCTACCTCCCGTGTGGAACGCCATCTTTTTTACAGTGCACGGCAATGTGCTACAACCACCGTGGGGAGGAAGTGAGGGACCGGGATAGCCAAAATGGAGTTACAATAGGGATTTCAGAGGGGCAAATCGCGACTGCAAAAATTACTGTGCCAACTATTTTTCATCTGGATCAATCCTTTTTGCTCTACACACTGGACAGCACAAACCCATCAGTCCTCTGTTTGATCAGGTGCACTGTAATCCACCCTGGGACTGTATTCAGCAACTGTCTAGTGGATTTAAATACTTTTAAAAGTTAAAAACATCAAAACACATTAAAAACACCCCAAAACCTCCAGGCTTTTTGCCAAAATCCATGTTACTAAACCGCAGTGGACTAATCAAGTCTGCAAATGCTCCTCCACCCTTCATGCATTTAATAAAGTGCCACCTTCTCTCGAGCATCCACACCACGCTTGTCACTTATGTGCGTTTAAAAAGTCCCACTCAAAGCGTTGCAGGGGTCTCCCCCCTCTCTTTTGGCTTTGGAAAATTTGCCTCCTAGGTTTCTCAAGATGCAATGCCAGCTGTCTGGAAAAGGAACGTGCCACTGCCGTGGAGAGGCCGCACGGCTGCTCCCCTTCGGGTCATTTACAACGGCAAGAAAAGGCACGCGGCACTTTTGGAAAGTGGGAAGGGCGACGTCATGGCTTCAGCCTTCAGGAAGACAGCATCGGAGAAATATTTCTCCGAGGAAGGAACAGAGCAAGGTTTCCTTTTCAGACTTGCAGAAGACACTGAAAGATGGCATCAATTAGTGACTACAAGTCACCCCGGGGCTCTAAGCAACGACCCGGGAAAATTCATCAGCCAAAACAAGAGTGAAGACTAACAAATCCCCCACCCCAAGGAAACCGTCCTCTTTTTCCCCTCGTGCCAAAGAAGGGAAAGCACAGCTGGAGGTTTCAGGGGAGCTTTTTAAAAAGCTAAGTTGAGAGCACATGTTCAGAAATAATTTAGAGTGGAAGGACCTTTAAAAATACTTCCCTTCTTCTGAGAGCAGCCGGCATTATTCTGCACAGCCAGAAGTGAGAGTGATTTTCTGGGTTCTTCAAAACACTCAAGCAGGCTTTGGCGACAGACGCAAGAATTTTTAAAGCTGGAGAATCAGATGGCATCTCCTACTCGCAGATCTAGAGCAAAAAGGTACCTACCTGGCTTTGCAAGACATGGGGTTGGAAACAGAAAGAGGGGCCAAGTCATACCACGCTATGTGCCATGCAAGGAATGAAGCACTCGAGGACAAGGAAACGGTGAGGACTACGGTTACAACTGGCTCGTTAGTGACATGCTTTTCATTAGGAAGGTTACAAGTGACTATACGTAAAATACTCAAACTATTCCCAAGCAGCCAGCCTTTCTCCCACGCACCTCTATCCTGGCCAAGGGACAGCAGACTTGGACTTTGGTGACTGTCCAAGTCAATCGGGACACGGGAAGAGGAGGTGGCAAATGAAACCCTCAAATTTTGTGGCCCATAGCATCACGTCTTGGAGGGAAGCACACCGGTTTCTTTGCGCTGGAGTTTTACACGACATAAGCCGAGTGCAGACATCCCTGCCCTGAATCCCCCAGACTGCAGAAGGTAAAGAGTGCAGAATGAGATTGAAGAATAGTTTTGTAACATTAATCTTTTTTATTAAGAAGACAGATATTTTATAGTACTTCTTTTTCTTTGTAAAAATGGTATACATGAACCAATACAAAATGTGAATGGGAACATATGGATATGTATTTTCTTACACTGTAACATCGTCCATGGACACCTTAAAAACAGAACTGGCCTAAGGGGAAAAAATAAAAATGGTGTGTGAGTCAAGAACAAGCTTATTTGGCATCAGTGACACGTCCTTCATTTTTTTACTATTCCTTTAAAAACAAGTTTGTTCTTTCTTCACTCTTAAAAAAAGAACCCTTATGATCTAAACCTGTACAAAGTAATACTCAACAATACATTTCAAACAGTGCACTGTATACTGAAGGAAAAAATACATAAACCAATATACAACTAAAATCCGTAATTTCCTGGGTTTCGTTTTGTTTTGTTCTTGTCCAATGTGTGGGGCCAAAATTTTGCAATCTACCTGAGACGGAAAACACCAATCAAAACACATGAACCTGAGACATGTCAACATTTTAAGTCAAAGTTACATCGGTAACACTGCACTACTGTACACTTTCAAAACAGAAAGATGGGCTGTTCAAAAACAGTATGCCAATTCTGTGATCCGCGTGTAAAAAGCCCCCCAAAAAACCTTTCCATGACAAGCTAACTGCTTCTCATCCTTGGATGTAAGGCTCAGAAAAGAGCTGTACTTGACAACATTTTCTTGAAAAACGGTCCTTTTTTGTGACTCTCCCTTTTTTCTAAAGGGTTTTTGAAGGAGGGGAAAAGACAGAATACTGCTTAAGAGGGCTCTTTTTTTTGTTTTTTGTGGGTTTTTTTTTTGCCTTTTTCATGCTGGCCTATGAAAAGCTCTGCCAAAAATTAAAAAGGAAAATTCACACAGCTTAAAAAAAAAATGCTTCCTAAAAATCCCCCAATTGCTGACACTTAGGCGCAATTTTTCCCCCTTAAATCAATCAGTGTCAAATTTCTATGTAAAGCGCAAAAAAAAAAAATTAGCATCTCTTAAAATCCAAGATGACTCAGTCAACGGCCTCCCCTCCGTACCGCCTGCTTTAATGCCAGCTTCTTATCAGGGCCTGTCTGCAGCTCCATCCCCGCTCCGAAACTCAAAAGACTTTCCTCACCTCCTGGTTTCTACCCAATTTCCCTTGCAATCTCGAATGCAAATTCCTACATTTCCCCTGCCAGGAGGAAGAAAAAATAAATAAATCCGTTTTATTTTTCCAACGTCTCCCAGGGCTTCGAACCTAAAACATTTTCAAGGTAACTTATTTTTAGTAGCTGTGCACCACGATTGCCATCATGCAAGGATCAGTAATTTGTTGGCAGATGGCTCTTGAGGCTGAGGAACGAGGCCAAGGCTAGGGTATGAAAGGTAAAGAGATAAAAAAAAAAACCCCCATTCAGCATTTGAGTTTTGATTAAGTAAGTGAAAGAGCCCACATACTGTTCTTTGCACCTCTCCTCTGACCTTTGCCGAACGGAGACGCAGGGCAGGGCAGGCCAGCATGAAAACAATCCCGGCCCTTCTTTTGTCCCTCCTGCCTTTGTCGAGTCCAAATCTGAAGGAATGAAAGTTTCACACAGCCTCTCGTTGGATCTCGCAGCAGGACAAAGCTCTGCAATACCGAGCGCATGCAGACCGCATCCAGCCGCCTTCCCTAACCAAGCACAAAGGCGAGGAGGAAGAAGAAAATAAAAACTGCTCGTTTACAGCCCTTTGCACACCGCGAAGACTTTTTTTTTGTTTTTTTTGTCCCTCTTTTTCCAACAAATTAAGGAGAAGTAAAGCCGACTGGGGACGCTTGACAGGATTGTTTGGAAGAGAAATAATCAGAGCCGAAATACCTCACCCCCTCTTTCCCTCCTGTGGCCACTCAAATTTGTCCGCTTGCATAAAAGGAACAGCCCTCATCTGTCAGGTTTGTTCAGGGCAACAAGGAAAAGGATCCCTTCACGCCCCGAACCTGTCCAGACAGCGCGAGGATCCCTACACCGAGAGCAGTCTACAGACACAGAATTAAAGACAGATTCAATCACGTAGTGACATGCCTCACTTGCAGATAACCCTGTGCAGTAATGTCTCTCCACAGCTACCGGAGTACATTTTCTGAGTCACAGCCTATTTTCTAGTCTCCACCACATAAAGCATTTGAAACATGGGCAGCCACAAACCGTCCCCAGCGCTTGCTCATCCAAACCTTTACGACAACAGAGAAGAATGGGTTATGGATACAATGAATTGCAAACGATGAAATCTAAAGTGTGCTGGTTCTCCTCTGATGAGATCGAGATCTGAACGGAAAAAAGAGCAGAGATCAAACAAAAGGGGGAAGAAAAGAAAAGGGGGGGGAAAAAAAATAAAGACTTGAAAAAATAAACCTATTCCAAGGGGTCCCAGCAGGCAATTCCAAAAAGAGAATAGGAAGGGGGAAAAAAAAGAAGAAACGAACACACACACAGACCCCGTCCCCCCCGACCCCCCGCTCCCCCTCCCAGAAAACCAAAACCCAAACGAACAAAAAAAACAAGGCACAGAATTTTCTGCAAATGACTTAACTAAACTAAATCCAAGCTGGACTTGGCCAAAAAATAAAACCCAAACAAGCTGAGGTGTCGAACAGCAGAGTGTACTTTACAAAGAACATTTTTACACAGCAAATCCCGGACCCTCGTAGTCTCGCATCTCTCCACCCATTCGTTTAAAAAAGAAAAAGGAAAAAGAAAAAGACACAAGCTGGTCGCAACTTTCAACATCACTGTCTCTTTATCATCTAAATTGGGCCAGTAACTGTCCACGGTTGGACACCTCATTGGAACCAAGGCTGATCTAGATGAAGTACTCTTTCTTTTCTTCGGAGTTGTTCTGTCCTCCTTCTGCATTGATTATCGCTGTGTCTGCGTCGGCTGCATCGTCTGCTCCTTTGGCTTCATGAGTGAAGTATGTACCTGAAAAGAAAGCAGTAAGGTAGTTCTGGTGACTCACGGGTGGGCTCGGTGCGAACGGCTACACCGCAGACGAGCTACAGGAAAGGGGAAGAAAAGCCATTGGGAGAGGGATTCAGGATTAAACAGCGCGCCGTGCCCCGGGAGCCGAGACTCGTCAGCGCTTCCTTGCCCAGCCCCCAGCCCTTCCAGTGGGGACCATCGCTCCAGCATCTCTGTGGAGGCTACGGGGCTCCTGCTCAGAGCATCATAACCCGGCGCCTGGGTAAAAGCCAAACAAGCAAGCAGACCTGGCAGCCGGTTAAGAAGGGCCTCAGGACCAGCGCCACGGAGACTTTCTTTTTAAAACCGTGCTATAGCATTGAAGGGGAAAGCGGCAGGGCTGAGCAACGGGAGCCTGCAGTGCTGAGCACGTCTCTGCAAGGGGCACCAGCAGCACCTCACCCATTCCCCCTCCAACTCCGACCCGCGAGAGGGGAAAGACCCGTTTATGTTACTTCGTGCCATTTAAAACCCGCCAGGGTCCAAATGCGAGTGCAAATACAGCCCAGTGCCATGCCAAGCATTTCATGCCCTTCCCTTGATGAGGCCCACTCTTGCGCTCTATGTTCTTGATATATTTTAGTCTAATTTCTCCTTTCCCCTGCTGTCCATGTCATGCCCTTGTCTTGCCTTCCTCCTCAATTCTCTCCCATCCTCTTTACTGCTCAGGACCCTCGTCTCCTTCACCCCCTCCAGCCTAGTGCCAGATTTTCCTGACACTTCCCACGTGGCCTGTTCAGCCTTAGGTTTCCTTCGCTATTAAACCATCCCTCGCACAGACTGGTCAATGCTGACTGCCAGGTGGCTTAAACCCACTTTATAATGAACAACGTTAGACCTGGGTCATAAGCTTCAGAGAAAAGCTGAGTTTTGGCCACATCCTACCCTGACATTATGTCTTGCCATCTCTTATGCTCAAAAGTCAAGTGTGGGCTACCATGAAGATTACTCCTCGAAGTGCATCCCATGAGTGGGAACAAGCAGAGACTGCTTGAAGAGCTGATTGATGTTCAGGGTCAGTTTAATAGCAAAACCCTTCCTTGTCCCTCGTTACATCCTGGCACAGAGTTAATTTAATGGGCTAGATGCTACGCTGGTCCACACCAGCTGCAGACCTCACCTAACAAGCCTCCATCTCCATGTCTGTGATGGACCAAAAATTGCTCTCACTATCAAAGTCCTCCTGCCTTTTCCTCCGTGAGGCCCGTTTTCCTTCTCCCGCCAAGAGCGACAAAGCTCAGCGTCCCGCGTTGCCAGCGGATGACATGGGATGGAGGGCTACCACCGCCGAGCACCGTGAAGCGCACGCATGCAGCTTCCTTCCAGCGTCCGTGCCTGTCCTCGGCTTACCTTTATGTCTCGCAAAGTATCGCCCTAATATGATGAGCAGGCAGAGCATTGCGAACACCACCACGGCGACGACTCCGCCGATCACTGCGTGGTCCACGGTCCTTATCGACCCTTCCTCACCTGCTCGAGAATCTGCCGAGATCAGAAGAGGAATAGGAATGTGGGACTTATTAGGGGCTCATCGGAAGTTCGGGGCTGCAGCTGTCTCCGCGGCTGGAAAAGCCAGCCCTTGCACTTTGGGAGGCAGGAGGTGGGGGTATGGCGTGGAACTAGCCAGAGAGAACAGATCAGATCAGGCAAAGAAGCAGGCAGGCCCAGCCAAGGCTGACCGAGCCGGCTGATCGGTTGGCAAGGGATTTTCCATTAGCAGCAGCAGCAGAGGCAGCGGCAGCGGCAGCGGCAGCACTGCTAGCTTGGTGCGGCACAAGCTAGGAGTGGGAGAAGAGGAGGAAGGGAGCCACAGAGTGCATGATTTTTCAAAGACCTGCCCACGCTTTGGCCCCCCGTTTCCATTCCCCGCGCCCAGCAAAGGGAGCGATGCAATGACGGGAGGACTTTTAAGTCCCGGAGGTACCGAGATACCACGGGGGTCCAACCCTCCCCCCCAGAGTAAGCACCTGCGTGGCAGAGAATTGATTCCCTTGATGTTGTCACCTCCAAAGAAAACCAAGATTGCATGCAAGATTAAACCCAACTTTTTTTCTGCTCAGTACCCTCTGCGATGTATCAAGTGGCAAAACTCTTAATCCAAACCATAAAACCCTCTTCAAATACAGATAGCAAGTCATAATTGTACATTGCTTCCAACTGCTTTATTTTATTTATTTAACACCTCGCCATGCAATTATTTTTCCTTTATAAGCATCGCTCCCTCAGGATGCCGTCATCCTGGAGAGGAATGACTTATCTGGCTGGGGAACAGCTCCAAAATGAACCCAGAATGAGCTACGGCCATGTAAAATGAATGTATAGCAGTGTAAACAATTTTAATTTAAGAACGCAGCTACATCAACCCTCGCTGCAATTCTAATGGCAACGGAGATTTATAATGTAGTAAAAAACAATTATTCTCCCGTTGATTAATACATTAACATTTTGGAATGGAAGCTAAACCATTGTCTCTCTCTTTTTTTTATTGAGTCAAGCGCGACACCTCCATTAAAATGATTTACTGGCCGTACCTTACGATTTAAGCACAGCAGCAACAGAAACGGTAAAAATCTTTTAACTTTACATGATTTGTGAAGTCATATGTGAAGGATTTACCATTTAAATCTTTCACTACAAGAAGCACGTGGCCTATAAATCTGTCCTGCATGCTGTTGCCCGGACACCTAAGAGAAATGCATTTCACCAGGAAGACTGAGAGTGCAAATTCAAGTCAATTTTTAAGAAAGATTTATCTCCGTCTCTCTCCAAAGAACAGAGCAAATCTCTGAAGCCTCCACCTATAATAATATTTGAAGTTTATCGATCAAGCGTACAGATCCGTGACAGCTAAAGGTAATGGTGCTCTTTTGAGCCGAAACCTGATACAAAGCTTTCAAGTAGGAGCCCAGGATTCACACTTTCTATCGATATTTCCAATTTTGTTCTCAGATTAAGTACGGAAGGATGCAAGTAAATAACTCGTGACTGAGAGCCCCATAAAGTGCATTTTAATTAAAAAAAGAGTTTAAATTAAAAAAAAAAAAAAAAAATCCTCGCAGCGTTTCTTTCCGTTACCTTTTAAAAAAAATAACGAAACCGAAGCAGAACAAAGGCAGCAGTATTGACACAGACTGCAGAATGGGTAGGTTTAATTAGGTCAAAGCAGGTGCACATTAAAGGACAAAATGACAAGCAGCCAATTAGATGGCGCCGTGCAAAATGAAATCCCCTTCAGCAATGTATCTAATAAGCTAAACTAAGTGTGGCAAAAAGGATTCTCCTGCTCGCCAGGAGCGTGTGCTGGGGGGGCAGTCGCTGCACGAGCTAAAACACGAAACGCTGAAGTGCCGATTTGAACGCGCTCAGGCTCGGGCCCCGCAGCGCAGTGCCTCCCATTGGCAGGTGCGTCACACGCGGCTTGTCTTTTACAAACTCATGATTGGAAAAATGAAATGCAAAATTATCTGTAGCATCATAATGACAAAGCATCCCCGAAGGACCAAGCCGAGCAGGAAAGCAACCAATGCAATATCGGACTCGGTTAGAAAGCCATAAACACGGATCTCTCAATCAGGAGAATTAACTAATCTTGAACTGCCAAGGGCTTCCGATCCAATGAAAATTATTGTCTTTCAAGTCGATTTTTCATCGCTGGGTGAAGGAGACAAAGAGAAACAAGATATGCACAATGGAGAAGAGACATGCAGCTCAAGTTAAGTGGTTCAGGAAACGGTGTGCGTCCTGGTGATCCCGGAGGGCTCCGAAGGACTCCGCGAGGCTGAGACGCGCGCTGAGAAAGCCTCCCCCGGGGAAAGCGTTTGCTGTCAGCCTTCGCAGGCACGCGCCTTCTGCCGACCGTGCACCTGCACTCGCCACTCAGCAAGGAGGGGCAGCTCTCCTGCACGCGGATGCTGCCAGCTGCCCCCGCCAGGCTGCTTGCACAGTGCCTCACCTGCCCGCATCTAACCAGGTGGCCTCTCACTTGCATCCTAGGCACCTGGTCTCGGCTTGGCATCCAGCGCACCTCCTTTGCGCCACGTCCCATGAGGACACCGAACGTGGCGTTTCGCTCCCTGCATTTATCACGCGGGCCCTGTCTGCTCCCAAATCTGTGTGCACACTTTGGTGGCCTCCTGACAGCAGACAGCACAACTGTTCCAGCAGATACGCTGCAAATCACTCCTCGAGCGATGCCCTGCACTGAGGTCCTGGCTGCCCAGCCCGGTCATTTTTCACAGTGACGTCCGTGACACCAGGATCCAGAGCGGAGTTTAGCCCCACTCAACACACCGTAGGCTGCTCTGATCGTGCCTTGCCATGAGGTGCAAAGCACTCAGCCAGAGCCTGTTTGCATTAAGCAAATGGCTACCTTTAAGTAAGCCAAGAACACTGGCAACTGGCATATCTTTACCCCAGGGGCAATGGTCATTTTTCACAGTGACGTCCGTGACACCAGGATCCAGAGCGGAGTTTAGCCCCACTCAACACACCGTAGGCTGCTCTGATCGTGCCTTGCCATGAGGTGCAAAGCACTCAGCCAGAGCCTGTTTGCATTAAGCAAATGGCTACCTTTAAGTAAGCCAAGAACACTGGCAACTGGCATATCTTTACCCCAGGGGCAATTTTACACCATGGGGGGGGGGGGGGG